CAAGAGATCAACGGGTCAGCTGGGATTATAACATCGGTTAGCTCAAGAGATCCCCAGCTCAGTTGGGATTATAACATCGCTCAGCACAAGAGATCACCAGGTCAGCTGGGATTATAACATCGCTCAGCACAAGAGATCACCAGGTCAGCTGGGATTATAACATCGCTCAGCTTCAAGAGATCACCAGCTCAGTTGGGATTATAACATCGTTCAGCACAAGAGATCACCAGATCAGCTGAGGTTATATATATAAAACCAACGAATTGAAAACTGGGATCTGCACCATTTAAAATCTGGTAACTTACTTAGTTACATCACCTGGCAACAAAAGTTGCGACCCACCTACTTTCAGTATTCATTTAATTTAATGTAAAGTGTGGATAGTAAAAAAAAAATATATATATATATTATCATTTCACCTTGGTGATGAAAGTAACGTGCACACGATGGAACTGGTATGATTTGGATATTAGGGTGCACGACTCGTAATCTACGGGTTACGGGATCGAAACCTGTCACCGAAAATACTCACCCCTTTCAGACCTGAAAGGTGTTAAAATGTGACGGTCAATCTCACTCTCCAGTGGCAAATGGGTAGTGTTGACTAGCCTGTAGTCTATCACTTCAAAATTGTAACATTGGGAACAGCTAATGTAGATCGTCTTCGAACAGCCTTGCGCGAAATTCAAAAAATAAACGTGCACACAGAAAATATATATATATATATATTATCGAATTTGAAGTCCAAACTAAAAACCACTACTTATGTCATATATTTTAAAGCGAAAAGGAGTTACTAACTGGATAACACATTAGTGTTATGTATGTTTAAGCCAAGGATCTTTTACTGAACTGATAAATTTTGTATGTTTTAATGTTGTATTTGTCATTATTTTTGTTAAAATTGCAGTATATAACAAAGAGCTCTGGATTCAGCAAAACGCGCCGTCAACAATGGATATGGTGAATATAACGTAGTCGGAATGACTTTAACTGTACACACTTAAATCTTGAAAATCCCAAAGGGATTAGATAAAGAATGTAGTGCTTAAAAATATAATAGGCCTAATACTATATAATATAATAATACTAATATAATAATAATACTAATATAATAGGCCTAATACTAATGTCTCATGGCGAATATAGTAATTGGAATCGTGCTTCGCCAACACCTAATAGACTTTCACATCATAGCAATTGTTATTGTCCGTCTCTATCTCTGCCTGTCTGCAATTCAATTCCGATTAATTGTCTGGCGCACTTATATACAAGAATAGAGGGCGCCTAGTAAATACTGGATTATTCGTGATGTTCCCCGATCTTTCTAGAACTCATTACGTGTTACCAGCGTCACGTGACTTCCGCTGTTGTAACAATACTATTTTGAACGCAAATGTCTTGCGGGTCTCTGCCAGTTTATTAATTATAATAAAGCTAATGTGGCCTAATTTATGAAAATATATCCATGTCGTTCTGTTGTTGTTTAGACGTCAGACAGCGCGCTTTAGGAAATGGGAAATTTTTTTTTGTACAAATCTATTAGAAGTATTTCAGTTGGAAACCTTAGAATAAACTTTCAGCAAGCCGAATGGAATTGCTTTCATGAACGAATAAAGCTCCTAAATTACTTAAATTACTCGTAAATTACTTTACGTAATGTGCTATTTCGGTTAACAGCAAACTGATAAGACTACTCAAAAAATAAAATAAATAAAACTGCTGAAATAAATGAAATAGATGCCTTTTATATTTTGAAAAAAAAAAATATTTTTTTTTGCCCAAGTTATATTTTATATTAAAATTCGCAAAAATATTTAATGTATTTAGTCATCAAATTTCAATCATTTGACATCAGACCTTAATCGTTTAATAAAAATAAAATTGTTACCACTTTTCCTTGTTTGATTATTTGTTACTGTATATTCTTGTGTGTGTTTCTATTGTTATTGTATATTCTTGTGTGTGTTTCTATTTCTAGGGTGAATATCCTTGTTTGATTATTTGTTACTGTATATTCTTGTGTGTGTTTCTATTTCTAGGGTGAATATCCTTGTTTGATTATTTGTTACTGTATATTCTTGTGTGTGTTTCTATTTCTAGGGTGAATATCCTTGTTTGATTATTTGTTACTGTATATTCTTGTGTGTGTTTCTATTTCTAGGGCGAATACATACTTCCGTCTACATCATTTTATCTACCCCCCATTTCAATTCCATCCTGGCTAACCCATGGGGATTACAAGATTAGAGCTCAAGCCCAACAGCATGGGTCTCGTTTGTTTTGTTTGGAGTTGCGTATTTCATGTGGAAACTAAACCCTCAAATGCCTCGAAAAAACAACTACCTTCCAGTTGACTTTAAGTTCTAAACTATTAGTTCATAACATAAACATAACACTGTCTACGCAGTGCAGATAAACCTTATTCCCCTGAAAGAAGTATACTGAATAAAAATTCGCCCCCCAAAACTTTTATAAAATAGACATTTATAAACCAAGTCTGGTTATAAATTGAGAAATATGTTCTTTTCTAAAACTATTTAAATTTCATTCACTTTATGGTATATAATGCTTGATTTTAATTTTTGATTATCATATTATTATTTTTTTATTATAATAATGTTTTCATTTAGATATATTGAGTTTAGGGGCTGGGTGTGGCCTAGTCGTTAGTGATCCAGACTGTTGATTTAAGGGTTCCTGAATCGTATCCTGTCGCCACAAAAAAACAACAACATGTTATTCACTTTGAGGTCGTGGATGCGTTATAAGAGTAATGGTCAAACTCAATAACACAGACAGCTCTTGAATATTTCGGAATATTCGAAATAAATGAAAACAGTTGAGTTTATTTTATCGTTTCTTAATTCTGTAATGCCCATAAGAAAGTAAATTAAAATTAAAAACTAAAAAAGTACATTTTACGTCTTTACTTTTTTTTTACTTCTAATCAGTTCCAAGTGGATCTATAAGCGAATAACTTTACATTTTAATCAAGAAATAATTCTATGATTTCAAAACTAAATGATAAAGGGTAGAGAGAAAATTATGGAGTTTTAAAGATATCAAAAAACAACAAAAACAAAACACGACTCTTGTTGATTTGAAATGATAAGAGAAACGGTGTTGTCATTCTAACTACCGAAGCAAAATTGAAAAAAATTTGTCTAATTCAACGAGTTTTCTTAAGTAACTTCGTAGGTTAGGCCCGGCATGACCAGGTGGTTAGGGCACTCGACTCGCAAACTGCGGATCGCGGGTTCGAATCCCCGTCACACCAAACATGCTCGCCCTTTCAGCCGTGGGGGCGTTATAATGTGACGGTCAATCCCACTATTCGTTGGTAAAAGAGTAGTCCAAGAGTTGGCGGTGGGTGGTGATGACTAGTTGCCTTCCCTCTAGTCTTACACTGCTAAATTAGAGACGGATAGCGCAGATAGCCTTCGTGTAGCTTTGCGCGAAATTCAAAAACAAAAACAGACGGACAATTGAGTCAAGTGCGGTAAAGTGCGTGAATTGTTCGTTGTGAATTATAGCGTATGTTTAAGTTAATATGACTGTGGAAATTAAGTGTATTGCAAAGTTGAATTGAGAAAGAATAAACTAGTTTTATTTAAGAAAAGACTTGTATCGCTGAAGTTCTTCGGAAAGAATTTTTACGAGTAATTAACAAACGACCAGAGACGTAACAGGAAGATATTTTCACGAGATAAAACACAACTATGTTTTTTTTAGAAAAAGTATAGAAGTTCACGTTTGATAAAATAGGAAAAATGCTTAAAATTCTAATTGGTTTTGTTGGGCCAAATATATTTTTTCTGCTATCATAGTTAGCTCACAGGCTGACTAAACGAAGTGAATTTTGGACTCTGGTTATAAATGCTGATAAAACTGGGTTTCATTGAGGTGACATAGTATGGCTGAAAAGTTTTCGTTGCAAGAAATGACAAGCTCCAAAGTTAAGTAGGTATTTGTAAGGGCCATACATCGTATTGAAAAGATCCAATGACATGGTTTACCAGATCCGGAAAGATCGGCGACTCAAGTGGAAGCACATCAATGAGAGTTTGGTTTGGCTTGTTATGAAATTCGCTCAAAGCTACACGAGGGCTATCTGCACTAGCCATCCCTAATTTAGCAGTGAAATACTAGAGGGAAGGCAGCTAGTCCTCACGACCTACCGCTAACTCTTTGGTTACTCTTTTACCAACGAATAGTGGGATTGACCGTCACATTATAACGTCTACAAGACTGAAAGGGCGAGCATGTTTGTTGGGACAGGGATTCGAAACCGCAACCCGCAGGTTGCGAGTCGAGTCGAGCGTCCTAACCATCTGGCCATGAATGAGAGAATGGCCAATTGTGTAACTCTGGATGCAGTAAAACTGAACCTGCTGAGGGCTCCAGAGTTCCTATCAACACTACTTTCAGAGAATCATCAGGGATGGTGTTTCCAGTGGATTGACTTGACCACCTACTCAAGAAGAACTCCCTAAATGACAGAACAGCCAGAGACAACAAGGTATAAGACGCCATACTGTCTCTATACCACGGGTATTGGAAGAGAAAAACACCAAAAACACTTCGTTAATGGACAGTGTAGTGTAGTGATGTATTTGTTTGTATTGGGGTTGTTGAAAGAATTTCACAATCCAAGAAGGGGACAGTGTTATAAGCTATATTTTTAACGTTGTAATTTAGATGGTAGCTAGAGGGTATATGACGTTAAGACTGAACCTTAATAATGTAGATGTAAAAAAGTTCTAAAATTTGTGACGTCAGATTTTTTAGTGATTAGGGGGAGTAGAAGGGTCAGTGAAACTGAAACATGAAGATATAGATATTTCTTATCACTAGAGTGAATCAATAGAGAATGTTTTTGTTTCAGATGGTGATGAATTAGTCAGTGTTTTGTTTTCAGTGGTTACTTGATCGATCATCCGTGGAGTTGTACAAGTAAGTTTATTTTAGTTAGTGACTGTCAGAGGCGTCGCTAGGCGCTGGCACACGGAGCTGGTGTTCCTATTCTATTTGACAGTGTCCTGAATCCCCAGAACGGAAAACCGTGATCGATTTCGTACTGAAAAGCCGAAAATTCCTGTGCCTATGGGCCCTAGTCCCGAATCTTTTTTTAAGTATCTAGCGATATATTTTGTGCCTGCAAACGTAGCCTGCAAGTTATGACAGTGTTTGAGCTTGTAAAAACTTTAAGGAAGAAAAAAGCTAATTTATTATCGTTACGTTATTGGACTATGAATTAATTTAAGTAGGTAATTTAAAAGAGACCGCCAGTGAGAGAACAACTTTACAACAATACATATGCAAAATAACAAATAAAACGGGAACTGTTGCTACTCAAGTATCGAGGGTGGTAAAAGTAGCTGTTTCTTGTAGAAATCTCGTGTTCATTTTTAGAGCTTTGTGTATTTTTATCATAATTTATTGTAATTAACTATTGTTTGGTTTTAGGATTATAGTTAACAAAATAACTTTTTAAATTTTATTAAATTTCCAATTTCAGAATCTGCTACTGGTGCAGCTGTTACTGCTACTACTGTTGAAAGTAGTAATTCTACGGATGGCAAGAATGGCTTGTTTCCAGTGGAGACTTCTTGTTCTTTATTTGAAGTGTATGAAAATGGTGTCGGAAATACACTATCCTGTTTAGAAGGAGAACATTTTGACGTTATCTTGAGAGAATGCGTCAATATTAGAAAATCAAATTGTTTTGAAAAAGGTAAATTTAGAAAATGTACACTTATTCAGTGAGATAATAAGTAAATTTTAAATTTAAACCATGACTTGTATTGTTAATATTATAAGTATAGTGTTCAGATGTGCCCGCTGTTATTTTCAGTGTATGTGTGATATAAAACTAAAAGTCAATATAAAATTTTCATGAAACATAAAAGAATTACATTATGTTTTGGGGGAGCATGTGACCTATTGGTCCATCTCGGCTGTCCAATCCTTTAAACTAAACTAAAATTATAATAATAATAATAATAATAAAATTCTAAAGCCAACCCTTATCATTCGTATACATATCAAGCTTTCTTGTAAACTCACTTAAAAATTAAATTTACTGTCTCCACAACATCTGAAGGCAACCTATTCCAAAATCCAACTATTTTGTTAGAAAACTTGTACTATCTTGTCCAAAATTTATATTTGTGTCCCCTAGTTCTACTATACTCACTGTTAAGTATGAAAAAAGATGATGCATCAACATTATCAATTTCCTTAACAATCTTAAATGCTTCAAGCTTATCCACCCTAACTCTTCTTTTTTCAAGAGAAAACAATTTGAAAGATTTCAACCTCTCCTCGTATAACAACCCCTCCATCCTAGGCACCATTCTAGAAACCATCCTCAGAACCCTTTTCAACAATTCATTGTCTTTCCTAAGGTAAGAAGCTCAAGACTGAACACAATACTCCAAATGTGGCCTAACCAGTGACCTATACAATGAAAGTATAACCTCTTTAGACTTGTATTCAATATTTCTGTAGATACAACCTAAAATCATATTTGCCATACCAGTAGCAACAGCACACTGCTTGGATGGCTCAAGAGACTGATCAGCTATTACACCAAGATACCAACTAACCAAGAGCCCTTTCTTTCATGACACTGTTAAGGTTATTCCCATCCAAATTATACTTATAATTAAAATTATGATAACTTACTTTTATTATAATTAAAATCCATGTCATTTATTTGCTCAATTCACTAAATGATCTAAATCTTTTTGTAACTCAGTAGCATCCTCTTGATAGCTTGCAACACCTAAGACTTTAATATAATCTGTAAATATAAGTAATTTATTGACCATTCCTTCTTCTATGTCATTGATGCAAATCAAAAAAGAGCAAAGGTCGTGACACTGAGCCCTATGGTACCCGATTTGTGATATTAATCTAGTTTGACAGAACTCCATTTATAACAACCCTTTGTTTTCTTCCATCCAGCCACTCTTCTATATAATTTGCTAACTTATCCCCCACACCTATAGAGAGAATGTTTTTTACAAGCCTTTTATGTGGCACCTTGTCAAATGCATTCTGAAAATCCGGATACATCAAATATGCACCTTTACCCTCATCCCCTGAAAAAAGGAGTGACTTAGCTAACTTCCAATCCTCTGCTACCTGCCCACTATTCAAGGACTTTCAAAAAATAGTAGCAAGTGGTTCACATATCCAATCCTTAACCTCCTTCAAAACCCTTGGGGAAATATTATCTGGCCCAGGAGCCTTATTGTTCTTTAAACTTCCCAATTTTTTCTGAACAAGCTCATAACTAATGTAGTCATCTTGTTCGATCTTGTTTCCATCTATCAACTTTTCAAGATGTGGAATACTGCTTAAATCTTCGTAAGTAAAAATGGAAGAAAAAACAAAATTGAATAACCCAGCCATCTCGTAATCATCAAATATGAGCCTTCCTTTATCATCCCTCAAGGGTCCTACCCCCATCGTAACATTTGTTTAACTTTAATGTATTTAAAGAAATCTTTACTGTTAATTTTTGCATTTTCAGCCAACCTTTTCTCATACATCCTGTTTTATGTTTTAATTTCCTGTTTGACCAACTTTCATGATCTTCTGTAATCTTCTAAATCTCCTGTCATACCAGTCAATTTAAATTTCTTAAACTCTTTGTGAGCCAACCTGGTTTTTTTACTTGCAGCTCCCTTTTTCTTTCTATAAGGAATATGTTTACATTGAATATTTAAAAAATTATCATTAAAAATTTTCCACATCTCATCAGTTTCTCCAAATAGCTCAGCTGCCCAATTCACAAAAAATAATTCTTGTAATATTCCTTAAAATTTACTTTTTTGAAACATGTAACCAAATTATCATTATTCCTTATCTCATATGCAGCAAAACATTGAACCTAATAAAGCAATAGATCACTTGCACCCAGATGTTCCCCAATTTCTATCCTCTCAATCATTTCTGTGTTTGAAGTTAATAAATCTAAAATAGCATTGTTTCTAGTAGGGTCCATGACTGATTGGTGAAGAAAGCCATCTTGAACAGCTTCCAAAAACCTTTCTACCTCACATTTTGACTCTAGCATTTCCCAATCTTTTTGCCTGAAATTAAAATCACCCATAATTATGACTTCATTAACAGCTGAAATCTTAATCTTGTTGTAAAGTTTCTCTCTAATTTCATTAGTATCATTTGGTAGTCTGTAACAAGTTCCCACAAAAAGCCTTTTTCCTTTATATCCACTAACAGAAACCCAAATGGATTCAATCTCCTTGCTATTATCTTTGATATCCTCAACTTCAACAGGATGTGACTCGCATTTTACATATAAAGCCACTCTCCTCCCTCTCTTTATTACTCTATCCCTGTTAAATAAACTACGACCCTGTATTTTAAAGAAATTTCTGTAATCAAAATCATCTACATTTAAC